ATTCTTCCTGCTACTTACACTACTTACAGGCTAAGGATGTTGCTTTATAAAGTGGAGTAACTCAAGTCTAGGCACAGTTACCATTCTGGACAATATAGTGACCCAGAGCAAGTCCAGCTGTACTCAACATCTCCCCAGGCCCCTCCCTCAGGAAGCCCTCCTTGATTGCCCCACTTAACCCCTTCCTTCTGATCTCTGGCTTTCTGATGACCCTCCAGTGCTAATGAGTGGTGACTGATCAATTCTTCTCTTCCCAGGGACCCCACTGGGCAACCTGGAGGGGAGCTGATGCTTGGTGGGATTGACTCCAAGTACTATGAGGGGGAGCTGTCCTACCTGAATGTCACCCGCAAGGCCTACTGGCAAGTGCACATGGACCAGTAAGTCATGGGTGTGGCTGGAAGTGGGAATGTAATGTAGGGGTGGCATTCAGGAAGTCTTGGGCTCTACCCGCTATTTGTACCTACTTTGCCATTTGAGTCTTCTCATTTTGTAACCCTGGACCATTCAGGGCCCTGTATGAATGAGTTGGTTGGTCCTGAAAAAAAGCATGTAAAAAAAGAAGGCTGGATCCAGACAAGCTGTGCCCCAGACTCACCTGTGACATGGTGAGTTGACAGATACACTCTTGCCCCATAGGCTGGATGTGGCCAATGGCCTGACCCTGTGCAAGGGAGGCTGTGAGGCTATCGTGGACACAGGGACATCTCTTCTGGTGGGGCCTGTGGATGAGGTGAAGGAGCTGCAGAAAGCCATTGGAGCAGTGCCTCTCATCCAGGGCGAGGTAAGCCATGGGGCTGGTGTGGGCTGGCCGGCAGGCAGAGGCAGTTCCAGAGGCCATACCCTCAGTACCATGTTCTCTGTGTCTCTCAGTACATGATCCCGTGTGAGAAGGTATCCAGCCTGCCCTCTGTCACTCTGAAGCTAGGAGGCAAAGACTATGAACTTTCCCCAAGCAAGTATATACTCAAGGTGAGTGGGTGTGGGCAGTGGCAGTGTGAATCTGGGACACCTTGGGTGAGATGAGAGCCGTGTGATCATGTGACCCTTTTGGCCTTGCAGGTGTCACAGGGTGGAAAGACGATCTGCCTGAGTGGCTTCATGGGTATGGATATACCCCCTCCCAGTGGGCCACTCTGGATCCTGGGCGATGTCTTCATTGGCACCTACTACACTGTGTTTGACAGAGACAACAATAGGGTCGGCTTTGCCAAGGCTGCCACTCTCTAGCTCACCCCTTGCCCACCAGCAGGGAAATGGATCACAGTCTAGTAGAGGAAGCCAGCCAGCCCCACCCTTCCACCTGCCCCACTCACACACATGCACACTCACCTGGCATTGCTGGGCCCTTGGGAGGCCTGGCTGGAGCTGGTCCAGCTGTTCTGTTCTGTGGTTCTGTCCAGATTGCTACCCTCTGCCTGTCTGAAAGAGGCCAAGGCCCACCCAGTGCAAGGGCTGCCTTGAAAGGCCCCTACTGGTTTGGTAGCTTGCCTTGTCCTGCTTCCCTTTGCTGCAGGGGCAGCATTCCAAAGCAGGCAAATGGGTCTTGGGATCCCTCCTAGAAACCTTACCTGACCTATGTCCCTCACCCAGCCTGGGGATGGCACCAGGCTCCACTGCCCCACTGTCTATATCCTGGCCTGACAGAGGCCTGAAGATGAGCAGAAAGGAGCAAGAGGACAGAAGCAAAGCTATAAACCGGGGGTGTTACCTGGGGCCTGGCCCCACCCACCCGGGAAAGCATGGCTTAGCCTGGAGCAGAGGCAGGATGGCTGACTGGTTTTGGCTGGCCCCTGCTGCCCTCATTCTGGGCTATGCGACTGGGAGCCAAAGTTGGTATACAAATACAGTTGTTTTGGGCCTCTTTCTCTGTGTCGGTGTGCTCTGTGTTGCTTCTGAATTTGGGCCTGGGGATGGAGGTAGCTAGACTGGGGAGACCCAGTGCTTGTGAGGGCTCATTCAGGGTCAAGCTGGCTGGGGGGTGGGGTGGGGTGGGGCCAGAGCCCAGGTTTGACTGTCAGGGCCAGGGCAGCCCACAGAGGGGACTCCCAAGGCTCTGGCTTGCTGTCTGGCCTTGTGGCAAGATGAGTCTGGGCTAGAACTGGCAGGTTCTGGGACCTCAGGCAGTAGTCAGCAGCCGGATGTGGCCTTGGCTGGAGACTGGGACAGGCCTAAAATTCTGGGGTAGGGCCTGTGTTGAATCATTTTCAGAGGTGGCCAGGCCAATACCTGCTATACTTTGCCAGGAAACCAGTCTGGCCCCGGAGGAAATGGAATGAGCCCCAGTGGGTATCTAGGGTTCCATACATTCCCTTCTCAATAGTCAGTCCTTTAGCTGTTGCTGGGTGCTATGGGCAGCCTCCCTTCTGCCTGGGCCTCTGCCAGAAGCAGCCTTCTGCTTTTTGAGTCAAGCCAGTGCTGGAGCCTATGTGCCTGGGGTCTTTGGGTTCATAAGTCAGAACTTCCTTGACATGGGCTACGGTCATTGTACAAGCATTGGTGTGAGGGTTGGGTCTCAGGAGACAGGGGTTGAGCACAGGTTGAAATACAACAGTGGAGCCAAACCTCAGGGTTTTAAATAGAGAGTAGGAGTCTGTGAGTCCTTACTGGTAGGGCAGGGATTCCTTTTGGAATCAGCCATTCTGGCATCTTGGAGCCCCTTACCCACACCAGCAGGTGCAGGCTATAGGGAAGTGTGAGCTTTGTCACCCTTTGGGGTTGTCCTGGCACTTTTACCTGCTGGACAGTGGCTGTCATTGTCTCAATAGGAGGAGTTTGGGGGACTATGTCCCAGAGCTGAGCAGTTTACCAAGGGTTGCCAGAAGGCCAGTAAACATGTGCCCAGTGTTCTCTGAAATGTGAGCAGAAGTCCCGCAGGGCTTGGCAGGGCTTCTGGAGACTAGTGTTATCAAAGGCTTGTGCACCAAAGCTGAAGACAGCTCCTCCCTCCCCTGCGGGCCTGAGGCTGAGCTGCACTGCCAGGCCTGTATGCGGCTACCACTGCTGCTGCTGCAGCCTCTACCACCACCCAGGGATACCCTGGGCAATGCCCAGGGATTTAGCTCAGGGTTCAAATCCAGTCTCTTAGCTGAATGACACTCTCACATCAGCCTCCATTCCCCGGGGAAGAAGCAGGACCCTTGCAATAGACAGGGGTAGGGAGGCTGCCTGTAAAACCCTGCACCCTAGCTTTCTTATGGGGGTGGGGTGGGGTGTTTCTTTCCTCAAATCCCTGATTTAGGGGACAGTGAAGCGTGACCATGCCCAAGGCTAGGCCCTTTCCTCGCTAGCTGAGAGGTGGGGCACTGACTCCAGAGTCCTGAAGCTGACTTTTGGGAAGAAGGCCCTGATTCAACCCTCACCTTGCCAATGACCTTGAACAGACCCTGCCCTGAGGTCCAAAGGAACCTTCTGCTTTCTGAAGTCTGAGTCTCAGTCCAGATATGCCAAGGGCAGCACCTGACCCAGGTTGCACGGCAAGGAGAAAGTCAAGGGTGCAAATGGATAGAAATTAGTGGCATGGTACACAGAACAGACATACAGACTAGGGAGGACCTTCCTCTATTCAAACCTCAGCAAGTCTGGCTTGGGATCCAAAGGAATGGTAGAGTTGGGTAAGGGAGAACTGGCTTTCTGGCACGGCCCATTTGCCCCCAGGCTCATTGGACCAAAAAGGCTAAGCTCCATTAGGGAGTGTCCAGAAGAAAGCCAAGAAAAGGAGGGAGGGGTCCCTGCTTGCTTGGAAATTAAATTCCACCCACTCAAGGAGGTTCTTTTTCTTTCTTTCTTTCTTTCTTTTTTTTTTTTTTTTTTTTTTTTTAATCTACACTTAAGATCCACTTCAAACTGAAAATTCCTGACATGCAGAACTGAGCTGTGCCAGGGGTCAGCAGGGGTCAGAGGTGGGGTTTGGGCTGAAAAGGGAGGATCTTGGCATGGGCAGGGCTTATCCAGGAGACAAGGCTTTGGAAAAGGACTCAGGGTTCAGAGAGCCCTGGTTCCAGGAGACCAGAAAGACTCAGGGCCCAGACAGCTCTAGACCGCTCTGGAAAGAGTCCCAGAGAAGAGGACAAAAAACAAGATTCTTGTGCACAGGTTGGGGAACTACTGAGACCCTACTCCTGCATGGTGAGGTCGGATCCCGAGGGAGGGAGGGAGGGAGGGAGGGCTGGCTGTTGGGGGTCTTCATGGTGAAGAGGGCCCATTGGGACTTACTTGGAGCTGGGGATTCATTTTGGGACAAGTCTCCAAGAGGAACTCAGAATTGGGGGAGACATGGAACTGAGCCATAGAAGGACAGTATTGCTTAGGGCAAGTAATGTGTAGGGAGAGCACTGTCAGGAGACTTGAACCTAGGATAGGGGTTTGGAGACTGAGCAGGTATATAGGCTGAGTTTCAAGGAGACTGGTGTAGGGGGGGGGGTTCTCTGAGAGGGACCAGTGTTCAGGGTTTTGGAATAGCATACCTGGCCCTGAGGGCAGTGGGTAGCTTGCTGTGCAGAGACAGGGCAGCCTGTTGTGGGTCAGATTCTTCAAGCTGGGTTTATGATGAACGGGACTAACACGAATGAACAAGGCTCTGGTGGGATCAGACTTGGGAGACAGGAACTCCGATCCAAGGGGACTGGGTTTGAGTTGGGGACCGGAGGGGGGCCTCTCTGAAGATTGTTAATGAAGGGCCTGGGCTTGGTGGACTCAAGAGGAAAACCCCCAGACTCGGGGACCTGAGAGACAGGACTGAACAAAGACAAAGTATTCCCTTAGAGTTTGGTGTGTTGCATCCCATTTGGGTAGGAACTGTGATCTACAGTCTGGAAGCTTCAAGGGACCCACAGACTCCAAAAGGAAGCCTTATTAGGGATGGGGACTGGACCAGCTCAGGCAGGGGCTTAGCTAGTAGTAAGGATGGAGCTCTGCTAGGCAGATCAAGGAAGAGGTGGGTGGGAGCTTGGAAAGCTGGTATCAGGACAGGGCCTCAAGGAGAAAGGGCAAGGATTACCATGGGGACTGATGGTGGCAGGTGGGACTCAACAGGGCAAAGGAAGAGATTCGAGGTAAAGGGATTCTGAAGACACAGGTTTTGGAGCTAGTAAGGCTCAGTGGGAGAAGGAATCGGCTCAGAGAAAGGGAATCAACCTTGGGAACGAGGTGGAGTGCTCAGCAGACCGACTTTCCTGAGACCTGAGGACCCACAAGAGAGTGAGGACAGGTGGGCTGGGATAAAAGCTGTTTAGTCGGTGGGTATGGGAACCACCCAACTCATGGGTTGTAGGGGGTCCCAGCTTCGCCCAGCTCGCGACTCCCCGGGGTCCTGGCTTCCTTGCTCATAGGCCCTCTCCCTCCCTAGGGAGGAGGCGGAGGTGTCTGCGACGCTGCCGTGAGTCAGGCTCTGGCTGCAGCCGCGGCCGGCACGCTGCGGAGCGCGCGCGGGCAGCGGGGGAGGCAGCGGCGCCAGCCCCGCGCGCTCCCTGCCCCCAAGGTTGGGCCGCTGAGACGCGATCAGCGGACAGACAGCGGTCCGGGACAGAGGAAGGACGAGCGCTCCGAGGCGCAGGGGTCTGGTTCACTCGCCGCCCGCCGAGTCGCCAGTAGGTGAGCAGTCCTGGTGGCTGCTGCTGCCCCGGGTCAGACTAGGGACCACCCAGCCCGGCTGTAGCCCCCTACTATCTCCTCGCGGGTGTCAGGTGCGTCCAGTGGCTCAGGGGTCCAGCACCTAGCTGTCTCTTGGAAGTGTCCATTTCACTGGGTGTCATTGTGGGTCTGTTTGTGGCACGGGGGCAGGGGGAAGGTGAGTGGATCTGTGTGACGGTGTGTGCTTGTAAGATGTCAAATGCCGCTTTTTGCCGGGTTTTTTTTTGGGGGGGGGATGTGCGCGAGTTTGGAGTCCTGCACCTGTGTGTATCCTTTGGAGATGTGTCTGAGCCTATGGGGCAGTGTGTATAGTGCTGCGCGTCTTGGTGGGCAGTTGTTTACCTGGTGCGTCTGGGCGCGAGGGTGTGCTGGGACAGGAGAGCTCAGCCGGTGATGATGTTTGTGTTCGTCTTGGTGTGTATGTGCTTCTGCGAGAGCTATTCATTCTGCCAGTCGGTGACTGGAGCAGTGTCACTGTAGGTCTGAAAGCCGAATGGGAATGCACAAGGATGCAGAGCGCTCTGCTTTTTCGCAACAGGGTGTCAGTCAGGGTGCTGAGGGGGTGTTGTTGTGTGTGTTGGTGGATGCAGATGGCAAAGCAATGAAAAGCCCTTATATGCTTGCCAAGGCTACTGCGAATGGCTTTGGTATTGGCTGTGGCTGGCTTGGGGGTGGGGGGGGAAGGCAGGTGGCAGGCAGGCTGGCAGCTGGCAAGCTCGCAGGGATTTCCATCTCCCGAAGGCCATTTATGGGGCTGCAAGGGAGATGCTGTAGGACTCCAGGGTAGATGCTGCTGGGCGCTCAGGACCCAGCTTCTGCTCACTCTGTCCCTCCCTCCAGGCCCAGGGCCCCAGGCAGTGCCCAGCCCTGCTGGGAGCCTCGGCCAGCACCACGGACGGCACCCAGGAAGCCCGAGTCCCCCTGGACGGGGCCTTCTGGATTCCCAGGCCACCAGCAGGTTCACCCAAGGGTTGCTTCACCTGTGTTTCCAAGCCTCCTGCCCTGCAGGCTGCAGCGGCCCCGGCCCCTGAGCCTTCAGCCTCACCCCCCATGGCACCCACTCTGTTCCCCATGGAATCTAAAAGCAGCAAGACTGACAGCGTTCGTGCATCAGGTGTTCCCCAGGCCTGCAAGCACTTAGCTGAGAAGAAGACCATGACGAACCCCACAACAGTCATCGAGGTCTACCCGGACACCACGGAGGTGAACGACTACTATCTGTGGTCCATCTTCAACTTCGTCTACCTCAACTTCTGCTGCCTGGGCTTCATTGCTCTGGCCTACTCCCTCAAAGTGAGCCCGGGTGGGGGAGGGGCAGGGTTAATGGGGCTAGCATGATGGAATGTCTTTTAGTGGAACCCAGGGCAGAGCATGCAAGCCCAGCCAGGAGATCTGTTGTGGATTCAGAAAGGTAAGTCTGCTGGTCAGGTCTAGACTTGCAGTAAAGGGCCACTTCCCTTTCCTAAACTGAGAAAGCTTGATTCAGCTTGGGGAGTGGGGTACAGTTGTCTGCTCTGCACAACTAGCTTAGTTAAGCCATTGGTAGTAGGCCCTCAGAGCTCAAGATCATGTCCTCTGGCCAGGGGACATAGGAGTCAACATGGCCAGTAGCCACACCCAGGTAAATGGGATGGAGACTACATGGAGACAAAGGGACTTGAAATCCTGTGGCTGTGAAAAGCATAGGGGTAGTCTCAGGGCCCTTGCAGAACCTCTTATGTCAGCCTCTCCCCAGGGTATCTGTTACCAGGCACCTTGCTGGTATGTGGTATGTGGTGGAAGACCAAAGGCTAGCCTAGAGGGAAGGTTGGAAAACTCATCCCCACCCACTCTGCACCTCCATGGCTACAACTTCTAGGACCAACTCCCCTTCACACTGTGAGTCAGTGACTGGGAACAGAACAGCATAGCAAGCTTGTGGACCCCTCAACTACTCCTACTCCTATCCCTTCCCATGGCAAAGTGAGGGAAATGAACACACTAATGGGGCTGAGAAAAGCTGTGATAGATGGCTTCAGAGTGGCTCAGCTCTGAGCATCCTTGAACTGTTAGAGCCCCACCAACAGGGTGCCTGGGTGCCCTCCTCTCATCCTGTGGGCTTGGCTCACATTTACACAGATCATCACTTCCTGAGCCCAGACTTGAATGGCCCAAGCCAGATACAGTCCAGAGATTGCAGCTGCCCAGCAAGGACGGGTGCCAAGGGCTGAGAGAGTAGCAGGGTGCTGCAGAGATTAAAAAGTAGGGACAAGACTGACCCAAGAGGAAGGATGCCCAGGCATCTAAGCCCACAATTCATCTGCAGGCATGAGCCCCACCCTGTCCTGCATCCCATGACTAGCCCTCCTCTTCATGACTCATGCTCAGCATATCACACCATCTTCATGCCTTCATTTCCTAGCCTGGGTTCCTCATATCAAGCTGTGCCACATGGGAGTTGTGTATGTGAGTGATCATGTCTGTGAGAGCATGAGATTACATGTGTGTAATTTACTATATGTGTGGAGAGTATGAGTGGGTACATTTGAGTCTGTTGCATGGGTGGGTTTGTTTATATGGATGTGAGAGTGGTCACTCCGAGCATATGTCTGAGTGTAATTGTATGCATGCAATCATGTGCATGCATGTTTGTGAGCAGATGCAACTGTGTGTGAGTGTGCATGAACATATATAGAAATGTATGTTCAATTGCATGTGAGAGATACCAACATAGTCACATGCCTACATCCATTTAGGTATATATCATGAATGGACACATCTTTGAGTATAATATATGTGCATACAAATATTTGTGAGTCAATATGTGTTTGCATATAAGTACACCACAGGTTGTGTGTGTGTGTGTGTGTGTGTATGTGTGTGTGTGTGCATGCTTGTGCTGAGAGGCAGCATGAGAAGGGGACCTAGGGACTTAGGATGTCGTAAGGCTAGCTCAGCTCTGTTCTCTGGGGCAGTGCCAGGCAGAGGGCACCATTGCCAGGTTGTTAGTGGAACACAGCCTCCCCTGGTGCCCTCTTTCCCTGCACTGTCTACAGACTGGGGATTTGGGCATGGCTTCCTGGGCTCTGGCCTGGGAGCTGTCCCCTCCTCCCCTGGCTCAGGCTGTGTCCGGCTGGCTGGGCAGGGTAGCCCATCTGGTGTGGGTTGTAGGTAGGTCACGCATTTCTGGATGGTTATAGGTTTGTACTGGGATGTGAGGTTGACACTTTGGAGAGGAGAGAAGGCTTACTGTCTTTCCCTTGTTTTGTTCTGTGAGGTCTTCCCACAGAACATTGGACAGGCCTTGGGGCTTCTTGGACGGATGTGCAGGGTCAGCATAGACCAGGCTAACTCTGACCTGATGCCTGGAAATCAGTCCACCTGTGTATCTAGCTGCAGCCTCCTGACCAGCTGCACCTGCCACTCATGCAGCCCCAATACAAGCATGTCCAAGGACAGCAGGTGGACCAGGGGTCAGGAGGACTTGGCTGGTTTTCCAGCCGTCTTTCTTTGCTGAGCCCTTCCCCTTATCTGCTCACAATAGAGACAACACTGTTCAGGCCATCATGTGATCAGGTGGGCTGGCAGGCTGGTGTAAGATGATGGCATTTTTGCCTGCCCTGTCTGTACATCTCCCATCAGGCCACTGTCCATTCTTCCAACCACATGGGGTCAGGGAGCTCCATGCAAACTGCTCTGTGTCTAGGGATGAGCAAGATCAAGTAAATCAAGTCTCTGTACACTGCCTCATAACTACATAGCCCATGGTTCCCAGGACACAATTTTGGTATTCAAGTCCCTTCAAGGCCCCTCATCACCCTTTTCCTGGGGAAATACTGAGGTGTGGGCACACATTGACTCGCAGGTATCCTCTCTTTAGTATGAAGCCTGTGCCTCTCCTAAAGAGCTTCTAAGGCCTCCCTTCCCTGCTCACATCTGCCTGAACCACCCTCAGTACCACCCTTCCAGTATCCAAAGCATGGTGACCATCATGGAGGAGGTCTAAGGATATTATTTGGCTGAACAGAGGATGTCATCAAGGGGGGACATATAAGCTAGTATCTTTGAAAAGGAAAATATCACACTGAGATTGGGGCCAAGTAGGGGTCAGGGTAAGGGCTTCGGGGGGGGGGGCAGCATTTTCCGTGGCCCTTGAAGGATGGACAAGGGGAAAGTTTTATCTGGAGAAAGGAGCAGATACTAAGCAGGGACATCCTCTGTGGTGAGTAGAAGTGTGAAGGGCAGGAGAGGGACTGCAGTGCAGCCAGAATGTGGCTGATGCTTGATCTGCTCAGGAGACTTGGGGACCTCCTGTGACAGGAAAGCCTGAAAGAATAGGTTAGGATGGTTGGTTCTAGTTGGATTTTGTTTGTATGTATCTATTTCATCCTTTTGAATATCAGTGTTATTAGCCCATCCATCCACCCATTCATCCACCTGTCCATCCATCCATCTACCAAGCCATATCATACCCATTCACCTATTCATTTATCCACCCATCTACTTATTTATCCATCTATTCACGAATCCATACATCCACCAATTCAGCTGTTCATCCTCCCACTTATCCATCCCATCTATCTACCCATCCATCCATCTACACCACACCCATTCATTATGCATTCATCTACCCATGTAGTATCCATCTATCCACATCACACTCATTCACACCTAGCTATTCATTTACCTGTTTACCCTATCATCTGTTCATGTACTCACAAATCCATTCACCCACTCATCCATCTATCCACCCACCCACCCATCAGTCATCTATTCACCCATTTAATCCATCTACAATCCATCTACTCACCCACCCCACTATTCATCCATCCACCCTTCTACCCATCCACACACTCACCCATCAGCCTGTCAACCCATCCACTGGCCCACCCATCCACTCATCTACCATCCACCTCCTACATACTCATCTGCAAATCTACCTATCTATCCATTTACCCACTCTACTATTTATGCACTCACCCCTCTACACATTCACAACTCATCCCTCTACCTTTCCATCTATTCATTCATCCATGCATATAGCCACCTTGCCATTCTCTCACTGTTAGATAGTAGAATGACATTTTAGGGAACAACAGGTAAGACTTCATCACATAGTCGATTTATGTATATACTCTGTGATGTTAACAGATGATGAGGCCTTCTGGAGTTTCTCAGATAGCCCTCATTAAGTGGTCCTTGGCTTTATCAATCTATTCTTCACTCTGTTTACTACATCCAGACAGCATCAGCCTTCCACTCACCTGTTGACACACAATCATTTGTACTTCTGGCTCTCTCCTCTACTGTCTCATTCCATCCTTACTAACCTTAACCGTCTCTAAGGTCGTTTTCTCATAACACTCCCACTTCACCCATCAGCACTGCTGTCCATCTGTCCATGCTTTGCCACATCCTCCCTCCTTTCCATCACTCCTCCATACCAAGTAGCCATGCTTGCATTTTTTGCCACTCACCTTCCTCATTTGCATTCTTGCCCTCAGTTCATTCATCCTTCTATCCTTTTTTCTTCTATTTTCTACCCATGCATCCATTTATCCACATTAATTTTCTCTCCCCTTTTGTAGTTCCCTTTCAACCTCACTGTCTGAACTCGTCCATCTTCTCATTCTAACCTTCATGACTGCATAGAATTTTCCTCTGGCATCTATCAACATTCAAATCCATCAGGCTTTAATATTTATCCTTTCTCCGGCGTTATGTCTGCCCAAATATCTACTCTCTTATTTCTTCTTCACTTTCTCCTATCCCCCAACTTCTCTGTCTGTCTCATCCAATAGTTTATTGATCCGTATGTGGCTGTGAGTGTACTTGCTGCACACTCTCACTACTCACTTGCCTAACTGCACACCTCATATTTCAGCCCTGTGCTCATCTGCTCTGCTCCCCCCCCCCCCCGTGCTCCTTCATCGTTCTGCCCTCTCTTATTTTTAGACACTGGCACGCCTTAGGTGTGTCAGATATGGTAGTGCATACCTAAAATCCTAACATTTGAGAGTTAGAGGCTGGAGGAACTAGAGTTCTGGGCCAGCCTCAGTTACATAGTAAGATCTTGTCTTTAAAAAAGAAAAGAAAGGAAGAAAATGGGAAGGAAAAAAACCCACAAGCATAAGCATGAATCCTACTAACGGTTCACCCAATAGCCTGCTGACTCATTTTCCTGCTTTCCCTTTTCCACATTTGTCTTTCATCCATGTACTGCCCCCTGTGTCCTTCCATCCCACTATCACCCTGCCACTCCGCACAGGCCACCTGCCTCTTCTACCTTCTGTTCACCCGCCACCAAGAACTTG